TCCCCCCCCCCCCCCACGAGGAGGGGACCTGCTCAATGTTCCAAAATTTAACGAACAGTGCTTGGAGTTCTGTAACAAGCTTTAATCCACCATCTTTAAACAGAGCAGGAGGAAGGCCATCGGGGCCCGGCGCTTTGTGACGTCCCAAGGCTTGGACTTCCTTAAGGATTTCAGCCTCAGAGGATGGGTTTGTTGAGACAGACCATGGGACGTGTGCCGGAGTAGCTGTGTGAGAAGCTGACGCTGGTGGCCAGTCGAACTGTGCTTTGAAGTGCTCCGCCCAGTGTGCAAGGTGTTGCTGTTGATTATGAATGGACGAACCGTCAGTTTCATAGATCGTTTCGCTTACACCCAAGGCTTTCCTACCAGTGACTCGAATGAGATGAAACAGCTTACGAGAATTTTTCATGACGGCAGCACGTTCCATTTCTGATGAGCGTTAAAACCACCGGATTTCGCGATCTCTGTGTAGCCTTACGTTAACTTCACGTCTCATTACAAGCCGTGTTACGTTATGCTCGCTGCCGGTCGGAAGTGACCAACGTGCATCAAGAAGGCGCAGCGACTCAGCGGAAATCCAGGGTGTCACGAGGCGGCGTGTCAGATCCCAGCTAACTAAGCCATCAGAATGCACAGCATTCTTGATAAGCGTACAGTGCTCACTGATGTTATCGGGTGGGGTTGATTCTAGCTTTTCAGCTAGCGTGTTTTGAAAGACGGCTAAGCACGCCGGTTGAGAAAACTTATCGCAGTCTAACCGCCACTGTGTCGTACGTTTAGGACGCCCACCGAAGCACATGGATCGCTTGGTGCAAACTAAAGCGTGATCGGATTCGAGGGTAGTGCTCCAGTACGATCGGCAGTCTTGTATGCAACCCCGCCATTTATGGCTACTGGCGATGNAGTCTATCTGAGTTTGCCGCTGGTTCGAGGAGGGTGGACGCCAAGTGGCGTATTGGCAGTTGGAGCGCTTGAAGTTCGTACTGGCGAAGAACAGGCAGAGGTCGGAACACAGAGCCAACAGCCGTTCCCCGTTTTCCGAGCGACAGGAATTTAATCCGAAAGGACCACCCAGATACGCCTCACTCGAAGTCAGGCGATCTACTCTAGTATTCATATCTCCAGCTAAAATTACGATATCAACCCGATTTGCCTTACGCAAGAGGTCGTGTAGCTTTTCGTAGAAAGTATCTTTGACTGTATCTGGGCTACAGTTCATGGGTGCATACGCTGAGACGACAAACAAGTTTTCTTTCGGAGCGACGACTATTAACTTTGCACGAGCCTCTAAGTCTCACTGCACATAATCGACTGTCGACTGGGATCCGATCCAGGAGCGCGCCTTCAGCTCTGTTACTGAGAGCCACACCAACGCCAGCAAGACCAGAAGCCGTAGCCCCAGGGTCCCCAGAAAGACGCAGGTGAAACTTAACGGGTGGGTTTGACGGGAACTTCAAACGGATGGCGGAGCTAGAGTCTTGAATGAGAGTATCTTGGAAACAATAAATATCGATGGCTAGGGTCTAGAGAGTATGAGCTAAACGCGTTGGTTGTCCCATACTC